TTGTCATTTCAGAGTCATTGTGCATACCAGGATCAGATGTGTTTATAACCTTAACGATTATGGAAATGTCGACAAGATGCAAAAAACTCTGTCAACATCAAACTGCTATCAATCTAATATACTCTTAATTGAAGGTTAATTAATTTTTGCAAGCTTTGAGGAATAAAAGAACATTTTGAATAAAATCCAAACCAAACAGAATAATGGAGCACGCCTTTTTTCAGAATATGCCGGCCAACCAGAAGGTCCACAATGGCTCTAGGGAAACGTATCGCAAATAATGAAAGCAAATTTGAAAACAGCCCAAGCCCCATCTACCGGTGCAAATCTCTTTTCAAGTGCTGTTTTATTACAAAAATTAATCGAAAATTCCATGTAAAATGTTTTCATAGGTGTTTCTTCCATGTATATTACGGAGATTTGTTGAATTTACATTTTGTCTTTTCATGTGCTCAGACACTTATTGGTCAACCGATAAACTCAAAAATGAGAATTAATTATGTAGTGGCATAGTGTTGAACCAGACAAAAAAGATAGCGTCAAAACAGTCTAGGGAAAGCTTCTACTATACTCCCATAAATCGTAAGCTTGATCGAAAACAACTATAAAGTTGGGATTTTTGGAGGCAATGCTCCGAATTTTATAACTGTTCTAAAATAGAATTACGGTGGCGAAAAGTTAAAAGGATTACTAAGAAAAACGTATACAGTTTTTTGCCTTGAATAGAGTAGATTCGAAAGCGTGTAATAAGTCACAAAATTTTAGTAACTTAATTTTGCTTGAAAATTCCTTTAACTAAAAATGATTGAGCGGCAGTTGATTCTAATTTAACTGGGAAGTATCAGAGTAGGCTTTAAATTTCATTTCAAAATCCAGATTTATAGCTTGATTGGTAATATGGAAAAGCAAAATCTTACTTTTTCGCTTTTTCGGAGGTCTCTTTCTTTGTTGATTTGACGGGATCCCTTAGTAGTTCCTGAAATCAGAACAGAACTGTGATCAAATCATAAGAGTTAGTACAGAGGAATGCTCAGGCTTTTTTGCATGCTGGTCTATGAATGCTGGTAACGTAATTGAGACTTGGTGATTCTACATAGAACATCAGATCCAGCTTAAGGTGTAGAAAGGTGTACTTCTTCCAGGAAACATTGGTTTTGAAAAATGCGAAACTTCGACATCGCTTGAATTGGATTTGGGTAACATAGACTACAACATTTTCAAAATGTACTTCTAGGACAAGATCTTGAAAAAGGTGGGCAATTAATGGTTAGTAAGTAATGATAGTATTCTCTAATAGAAGGTGAGAGGAGTCCATACTTATGCATTAGAATTTCACATGACGTTGAAT